ATATATATGCCGGGTGGCAGCCGTAGTTTTTATTTTTAGTTTTATATCTTATATATATATATATATATATATATATATATATATATATATATATATATATATTACCGTGTAGTGGCCGTAGAGAATATCCACTACCCCATATCTACCCGTGGGTGTCGTAAGAGGCGACAGAGGGAGACAGGCAGGAGATAGGCAGCAGCATCTTCCTAATAACAACAATAACATAATAAAAAACTGCGGTTGCCAACCCGCTCGCCAAGCGTGGCAACTATGGCAAATATCCCCCCATGAGCAACGACGCAAATAAACGGCCCCCAGTCCCCGGCGGCCTCGCTATTCCTGGCTACGGTGGCGACCATGGTAACGGCGGGGCAGGGGTGCTAAGAATCTCCGGTGGAGGTTCGGTTGCCACCTACGACGACTCGACCTGGCAACGTATAACGCACGCACCCTGAGGACTGACGAGAAGATACTGGAGCTGGAAGAAGAGGTAGACAAGTTGCGCTGGGATATTATTGGATTATCTGAGGTCCGAAGAGAGGGGGAGGACACGGTAATCCTCCAGTCCGGCAACTTGTTCTATCACCGGGAGGGCGACCATCTGTCCCAAGGAGGTGTCGGATTTATCGTCCACAAGTCTCTCGTCAACAACGTTGTAAAGATTGGGAGTGTGTTGACGAGGGTCGCGTACCTGATACTCAGAATCACCAAACGGTATTCGCTGAAGGTCATACAGGTCTACGCACCAACCTCGGCACATCCCGATGAGGAGGTGGAGGAAATGTATGACGATATTTCTAGAGCCATGCATTCTTCCAAAACCCACTACACGGTGTTGATGGGAGACTTCAATGCAAAACTAGGCACAAGAGAAGGCGGTGAGCTGAAGTTAGGGAAATTTGGAGTAGGACAACGGAACCGTAGGGGCCAGCAGCTGGCTGACTTTATGGAGAAAGAGGGACTCTTTATGATGAACTCTTTCTTCCAGAGACGGCCCCACAGGAAGTGGCCCTGGTCGAGCTCCGACGGTTCGACAAAAAAATGAGATTGACTTTATTATGACGACCAGACGACAACTGTTCATTTATGTCTCAGTGATCGCAAGGGTGAAAACCGGCAGCGATCACCGAATGGTTAGAGGCACACTGAACCTTAGCGTTAAGTTGGAGAGGTCTCATCTAATGAAGTCAACGCTCCGTCCCCCTCGTGCTCTGATCCAGAATCCCGAGACTTTTCAGCTCGAGTTACGTAACCGCTTGCAGTGCCTAGAAGATTGCAATGCAGTGAACGATATGAATGACAAGCTCGTGGAAACTGTCCATGCGGTTGGAGCTAAGTTCTGCAAGACCCGCCGCAGAAGAACACAGAAACTCTCCGATCACACTCTGAATCTCATGGCAGTTAGACGGGAGATGAGGCTGCAATCGTCAACAGATTTGACAGCATACAGGCAATTGAACAGACAGATCTCCAAATGCATGCGGCGAGCAACTGCAATACTATTATAACGCAACTTTAATACTATTCGTATTAAAGAAGCGATCGAGCGGAACCAGGGCTCCAAAGTCTCTGCCAGAGATCTGTCTGCCAGAAAGAGCCAACTGTCAAAGCTGAAGACTGAGTGTGGCAGCATCGTTTCCGAGACACCTGAGATTTTAAGTGAGATTGAGAGGTTCTATGGGCAGCTGTACACATCATCGTTGAAGCCACACGCAAGTGTGAGTAACGATCCAAGAGCAAGTCTTAACCGACACTATTCCGATGATATCCCGAACGTCAGTCTGAGCGAGATTAGAATGGCTCTCCAGCACCTTAAAAACGACAGGGCCCCAGGCGAGGATGGAATTACAGCGGAGCTTCTGAAAGCGGGTGGAACACCGGTACTTGAAGTCCTTCAGAAGCTCTTCAATTCCGTCCTCCATGGTGGCACTACTCCGGAGGCGTGGAGCAGAAGTGCGGTGGTTTTGTTCTTTAAGAAAGGCGACAGCGCTCTCTTGAAGAACTACAGACCGATTTCCCGTCTGAGCCGCTCGACGATTTCCAGCCTCCCGAACAAGCCGGTTTCCGAAAAGGCTTCAGTACTATAGACCACATACATAGCCTGCGGCAGATTGTACAGAACACCGAAGAGTACAATCTGCCACTTTGCCTGGCGTATGTGGACTATGAGAAAGCCTTTGATTCCGTCGAAATTTGGGCGGTGCTACAGTCTCTTCAGCGGTGTCAAGTTGACTGTCGGTATATCGAAGTGCTGAAGTGTTTGTACAGTAGGGCTACGATGGCTATCCGAGTACAGAACCAGAGTTCGAATCCTATCTAACTGCAGAGAGGTGAAAGACAGGGTGACGTTATATCCCCGAAACTCTTCACCGCTGCGTTGGAAGACGTTTTCAAGCTACTGGACTGGAAAGGATACGGTATTAACATCAATGGCGAGTATATCACTCACCTTCGATTTGCCGATGATATAGTCCTTATGGCAGAATCCCTGGAGGACCTTAGCACTATGCTCAATGACCTCAATGGTGTCTCCCAACGGATAGGTCTTAAGATGAACATGGACAAAACAAAGAAAGTCCAACTTCGACCGAGAGGTCAATCGACGGATTCAACTCGGCTGGGCAGCGTTCGGGAAATTACGACACATCGTCTCGTCAGGTATACCTCAATCTCTGAAAACCAAAGTGTACAACCAGTGCGTGTTGCCAGTGATGACTTACGGATCGGAGACGTGGTCCTTCACTGCTGGCCGTGTGAGGACGCTCAAAGTCGCTCAGCGAGCTATGGAGAGGGCTATGCTAGGAGTTTCTCTGCGTGATAGACTAAGAAATGAGGATATCCGCATTAAAACCAGAGTGACCGACATAGCCCAACGGATTAGTAAGCTGAAGTGGCGTATGGCCGGCCATATAGCTCGAAGAACCGATAACCGATGGGGAAGAAAGGTTCTCGAGTGGCAGCCTCGTACCGGTAGGCGTAGTGTAGGGTGACCCCCCACTAGATGGAGTGACGACCTGGTAAGACATGCAGGAAGTCGATGGATGCAGGTGGCTCAGGACCGTGCTTTGTGGCATTGCTTGGGGGAGGCCTATGTTCACAATCAGCAGTGCACTTGTGAAGTGTTTTAATGATGATGAATAATATGGCATTATATACGTGGTAGAGCCATGCTGTAGTTATATTAGTAGTATAGTTGTAGCACAAATGGGTTGTGGACTTGTGAAGGGCTGTAATGATATATATATATATATATAGAGGAAAGTAACCAAATATGGAATACCATTTTGTTTTTGTGTTATAAAAAAAAAGATATTCTAAATCAAAAACTTTTATTCTTATTCATATCACTCATACAGTTACGCTTAGCTTATTGACAGTTTTGTTTTACATATATTAATTTAAAATATAAAATTTTCTCAAAAACTAAATCAACATAAAGGCACCTAATTATGGAATAGGTACCCAAATATATTGTAAAACTATGAATAATAAACCTTTACTTTTATGAGGTACTACAGGAACTTTGGTCAATTTTAAAAATGTACTTAAATTACTTGCAAAAATCATAGATCCATGTATCGAACTCTGCACCTGCGCAATCACCATGTGCCCAGAGCCCGCACATGAGGCATTTAATCCATGTCTCTCCTCTAGTATCTTGAGAAAACAAGCTATTATAGAACATACACTCTGCATCTTCTGAGTCAGGAGCTTCCAGTCCTATGACGGCATCAGGCTCACTGTCTGTGTCAAAATGTATTTCTTCATCGTCTGAATCAATGGGACTATTTTGAGACTTGGTTTTCTCTTTTTGCTCTTTTCCTTAGTTTTCTTTTTTTTCTGTTTTTTTATTTTTTGGCTTTGATAATTTATTCTCTTTTTCTTTTTATTACTGTCAATGAGCTGATTTTTATATGGAAAAGATGTTATTATTTCAGAAATAGTTGTTTTTCTTCCTCTATTAGAAATCTTTCTTTTTTTATCTGGCACTGGACTAATGTCATAGGGCGACACCAGATTTAGAGTACTGCGAGAAAGCCTGGAAGTTGAGGGGTCTGGATCGAATTCTTTGTCTTGTCTTGGTGTGACAGAAGTTTCAGTTAAAATCAAACTATTATCAGGTGGTCTTGCATCGTTTGTTGATGATTCTTTCGACTGGGAGCTTGATTTTGTTGGAGTGGCATTGATTGACCATCTTTTACTGTATCTTTTTGGGCAGCAAGGATCTCGCTGAATATGTTTTTATTCAATGGCCAAAGGCCTGTAACCCGAAAGCCATTCGCTTCAATTTCCCCTGTTTGCACTTTCAAATAAGATCTGCCAAATAGTTCAACAATGTCATAAGGACTTAGTGGCCTGTTATGGTTTCTTATCCACATTCGTATTTCTTCGCTATAATAGGTTTTTAGTGGTCCCATAAAAGTTTTATCCAAAGGTTGCAGTTTGTGGGTTGTGTGTGGGAGGTATGGAAACAATTTCAACATTGTTCTCCATTGCAATATCAATAACTTCGATGTTTCGTGTGTGAGAATAATGTCCATCTAAGATCAACAAAACTTTCGATTCTGGTGTCGGGTTGGTGTGTTTGATGAAATGCTTAAACCAATCTGTAAATATTTGCATTTGGATCCATCCTGATGGATATGCAACGCCTACCGCACCTGGAGGACTGCGTCTCATTAGCTGTTCGCTCATATTTTTCCTGGGAAAATGGTGTAAGGAGGCACAAAATGGCCAGTAACGTTCATAGCAATAACTATTGTCATTAATGACTTTCCTTTGTGACCGATAACTTGGGGTATCTTGGTTTTAACCACTGTAAGCCCAGATTCGTCGACGTTATATATGCGATTCGGAGTATAGTTACCCTTAGTGTAGACTTCTTCAAGAAGATCAAAAAAAGCGTCTACTTTTTTTACTGAAACCAAAAGTTCTTGCAAAAGACGTGCCAGTGGGTCTTCTCATCGAAAGTTTTTGCTTATGACGGTTTAAAAATAGCTTTAGCCATTTTTTCCAGCCATTCCGGACTCACCAAACGGATTCTCCAAATGATTGCGTTTGGCCAACATATACGCCATTCTACGAACATCATTCCTCGTCAAACCATGAAACTTGCTCTCCATCTTTAAAATATATTCTACTAGTAGATTTTCGAGCTGATCACCTAAAACAGATTTTCTTCCTAATTTTGTGGCTGCAGCTTCTTCTGGAGATAGCTCATTTTTCTGACACAATCGAAACAACGTGGTTCTCGGTACATCAAAGTGTTTTGCTGCTTTAAAATATCCCATTGTTTTCTCTCTAAGCATTTGTATGCTCTGTCATGTGATCAGTGTTCCATTCTTTTCGTTTTCCTTTTGAACTTGAAGACGTCATTATAAAACCAAAATATTAAATTTGAAATCTAGCCAGATGATATTGTGGTATTCAAATTTGGAATAGTCCATATTTAGACTTCACGGACTGTCCATATTCGGAAATTTCAAAGTAATTAAAACGTATATCAGATTTTTTTTACTCATCAAGATCAGACAAGAAAAAAACCTCTAAAGCAATCAAACAAACATGTAATCAATGCATACTCATAATACACAATATTATTTCCAATCATGTTTTGAGAAATACTTAGTTTTTACGTACCTTAAAAACTTTTCTCACTCGCCAAAACAGAACACTCTCACTGCAGCCACGACATTCGCCCGACTGACAAGTCGAAAACTGTACGCGAATATAATGATGGAAAGAGACAGAAAATCACTGTCTTCTGCAACTAGGAGTATTCGTTTCCGAGAAATGTCGGTATTCCATTTTAGGGATACTAAGTATTCCATATTTAGTTACTGTCCTCTATATATATATATATAAAAAATATATATATATATATATATATATATATATATATATATATAGTGTGTGTCCGGTCACGGATTAGCGATATTTTAGGTACTTATAATACAGCTATTTTAATATAAAAATACACTACACACTGAGGTCTAATCCCCTCCCCCCTCTATTTGGCAGCCATTTTGTTTTTCTCTTGAGATATTCTCTACGCGATTACGAAAAAAGTCATATCTCTGCTAGTTTTAGTCTTACTGAGATAAAAATTAACTCATTCGGAGGCCAATAATATTGTTATCGTTTACGTTATCAAAATTTTTGTTGACATACTTGTAACTTTGAAGAAAAAAAATTTAACTTCAAATAAATATCAAAAAAATATGCTAATCGGCAAATTATTGTAAATTACTGCAAAAACAACCCAACCTATCGCTAGTCCGTGACCACAAAAAAAAAAAAACTTCTTATTTTATACTAGATCGAATTTAAGTTAAGCTACAATACAAAAGTTTAACTATCTTACTTAATATAATCAATAGATAATTTAAGCATTCTCCTACGTTACTAAGGCCTTTTTGCATACCCAAATGCTCCATGTTTTTTACTGTCATCTAAAAACATCCATTTTTATACTAGATCGACAGATTTTGAGTTAAGCTACAATGCAACATAAAGTTTACAGCTGTATGTTTATTACTTTTAGAATTATTGTTGTTTGAACATGGCGTATGCCCAAACACAAAAGGTCTTTGTTAAGTAACAACTGGCACTGCCTGCCTAGGAGTAATAGTGTTCTGTGCTGTCTGCTCTCAAATTATACTACTTATAAATGATGATTCTGATTGCGTATATGCTATGTTCAAACAACAATAATTCTTAAAGTAATAAAGATACAGCTGTAAACTTTATGTTGTATTGTAGCTTAACTTAAAATCTGTCGATCTAGTATAAAAATAAAAAGGGTGAACGGGGTTGTTTTTGCAGTAATTTACAATAATTTGCCGATTAGCATATTTTTTTGATATTTATTTGAAGTTAAATTTTTTTTCTTCAAAGTTACAAGTATGTCAACAAAAATTTTGATAATGTAAACGATAAACAATATTATTGGCCTCCGAATGAGTTAATTTTTATCTCAGTAAGACTAAAACTAGCAGAGATATGACTTTTTTCGTAATCGCGTAGAGAATATCTCAAGAGAAAAACAAAATGGCTGCCAAATAGAGGGGGGAGGGGATTAGACCTCAGTGTGTAGTGTATTTTTATATTAAAATAGCTGTATTATAAGTACCTAAAATATCGCTAATCCGTGACCGGACACACACTATATATATATATATAGAGGACAGTAACTAAATATGGAATACTTAGTATCCCTAAAATGGAATACCGCCATTTCTCGGAAACGAATACTCCTAGTTGCAGAAGACAGTGATTTTCTGTCTCTTTCCATCATTATATTCGCGTACAGTTTTCGACTTGTCAGTCGGGCGAATGTCGTGGCCGCAGTGAGAGTGTTCTGTTTTGGCGAGTGAGAAAAGTTTTTAAGGTACGTAAAAACTAAGTATTTCTCAAAACATGATTGGAAATAATATTGTATATTATGAGTATGCATTGATTACATGTTTGTTTGATTGTTTTAGAGGTTTTTTCTTGTCTGATCTTGATGAATAAAAAAATCTGATATACGTTTTGATTACTTTGAAATTTCCGAATATGGACAGTCCGTGAAGTCTAAATATGGACTATTCCAAATTTGAATACCACAATATCATCTGGCTAGATTTCAAATTCAATATTTTGGTTTTATAATGACGTCTTCAAGTTCAAAAGGAAAACGAAAAGAATGGAACACTGATCACATGACAGAAGCTATACAAATGCTTAGAGAGAAAACAATGGGATATTTTAAAGCAGCAAAACACTTTGATGTACCGAGAACCACGTTGTTTCGATTGTGTCAGAAAAATGAGCTATCTCCAGAAGAAGCTGCAGCCACAAAATTAGGAAGAAAATCTGTTTTAGGTGATCAGCTCGAAAATCTACTAGTAGAATATATTTTAAAGATGGAGAGCAAGTTTCATGGTTTGACGAGGAATGATGTTCGTAGAATGGCGTATATGTTGGCCAAACGCAATCATTTGGAGAATCCGTTTGGTGAGTCCGGAATGGCTGGAAAAAATGGCTAAAGCTATTTTTAAACCGTCATAAGCAAAAACTTTCGATGAGAAGACCCACTGGCACGTCTTTTGCAAGAGCTTTTGGTTTCGGTAAAGAAAAATTAGACGCTTTTTTTGATCTTCTTGAAGAAGTCTACACTACACAAGCTAACATAGCATATACGCAAACACAAAAGGCCTTTGTTAAATGACAACTGGCACTGCCTGCCTAGGAGTAATAGTAATCTGAGATTACTTGTGATCTTCGATGAATTAGAGATGATGAATTAGAGATCAGAGAATCAGAATCATCATTTATAAGTAGTATAATTTGAGAGCAGGCAGCACAGAACACTATTACTCCTAGGCAGGCAGTGCCAGTTGTTACTTAACAAAGGCCTTTTGTGTTTGGGCATACGCCATGTTCAAACAACAATAATTCTAAAAGTAATAAACAAACAGCTGTAAACTTTATGTTGCATTGTAGCTTAACTCAAAATCTGTCGATCTAGTATAAAAATAAGAAGGGTAAACAGGGTTGTTTTTGCAGTAATTTACAATAATTTGCCGATTAGCATATTTTTTTTATATTTATTTCAAGTTAAATTTTTTTTCTTCAAAGTACTTGTAACTTTAAATAATTTTTTTTCTCCAAAGTTACAAGTATGTCAACAAAAATTTTGATAATGTAAACGATAAACAATATTATTGCGCTCCGAATGAGTTAATTTTTATCTCAGTAAGACTAAAACTCATAGATATGACTTTTTTCGTAAACGCGTAGAGAATATCTCAAGAGAAAAACAAAATGGCTGCCAAATAGAGGGGGGAGGCGATTAGACCTCAGTGTGTAGTGTATTTTTATATAAAAATAGCTGTATTATAAGTACCTAAAATATCGCTAGTCCGTGACCGGACCCACTGTGTACTTAAAAAAAATATATATATATATATATATATATATAAATTACGCGTCACGTTGTTTGTCCGCGATGGACTATAAACTACTTAACCGATTTTAATCAAATTTGCACACCGAGTGCAATTTGGTCCAACTTGAGAGCTAGCTTAGTTGTTTTACCCATAAGTGACCCACAATTTTTTTTACGAATTTAAGGATTTTTAATAGGACATGTAGGGTTGCCAACTTTTTTTGACAAAAAAAACGTATAAAGTGGTTTGGATAGGAAAAAAATAAAGTATTAGGAAGAAAAAAAAGTATTTTTCAAATTTTATGTTTTTATTGCTTTAAACACGTATTTTTGTGTGCTTTTAGCACATGCTAACAATTTTTTGTTGTCTTTAAATGTTACAAAGCTTGTTTGACAATCAACGTTTAAATTTCAATAAATAATTTGTTTAGTTATTTTAGCTTTTTTAGGAGTCACTGGTGTGTCGCTATCAGAATTACTCGTCATTTTCAGCATTAATATTTACTTTAAAATGCATTCTTCACTTATAAACAAAACTAACGGACCAGTTTTGTACAATTTCGTCAATAGTGAGAGACATCTGTGACAAACGTCACAACTGACATCTGACATCTAATAGGCCTTTCCGATTCACGCCAACAGCGCTGTCAGCGCCAATAATCCGTTCCGAATCAACCGTAAGCACGCTGATGACAACGCTAACGCTGCCCATGGTCGCGAGCGTAATCACTGTTGGCGCTGTTAGCGTGAAGGAAAGATAGGTAACATTTCGTTCAGCAATTATAAATCGTTAAGTACCCATAATGAGTATGTTTTACGCATATACGATATTACGAAAATAAAGTATTTTTGCATACTTTATTTGTATGTTAAAGTATAAAGTATAATTACCAAAAATAAAGTAGGATACGTTATTATAAAGTATGGTTGGCAAGCCTAAGGACATGACAAATTGTCGTCGAAAACGGCAGAACAACGTCTGCCTGGCAAGCTAGTATACCTATATAAATAGGATGTCCTGAGTGACTGACTCGTTTACCAACGCACAGCCCAAACCGCTAAACGTAGAAATCCGAAGTTTGGACAGTAGCTTATTTTTATAATGTAAGCGTCCGCTAAAAATGAAATTACCGCGCTTAGCAACCGGGTTGACATCCGCAGTTTTTTTATTATTTTGTTTTGTTATCAGGAAAATGCTGCTACCCAATTCCTGTATTATTTGTCCTCTGTGGCCTCTTACGACACCCACGGTACGATATGGGATAGTGGATAATCTTACACCGCGTCCGCCACTACACGGTGTAAACATTTTTTCAAATCAAAAATATTAAAATCTATCTAAACCATACTATCTAAGGCAATGTCCTGATACAACAAAATCAATATCTCGAAATCCCTTTTGCGGAAATTATGTAACACCAATTCTGCAACAATATTTTTGTGTTAACCGATGACAATTAAGAGGATACCTTGAAAATGAATCGTAGTTTTGCGGGCGTGGCTTATTCCTTTGTCGGTGAAGCTCATGGACGACTGAGGTAGTGTCAAAATGAAAGTGATGCAATGACTTCTTATTACGCAAATTATGAGATAGCTATACCGTGCACGCGCTTGGAAAAGAACTAAGTAAGTAAGTGCCAAATAACATTTTTTTTTTACAAAACTTCGTTACGGATTAAAAAATGGTTTATGAGAACTTAAATATGATTATTTGCTATGCCTTACAAATAATTCCATGAATTCCATTATTAGTAAAATATTTGTGGTGTCATGGAGAAATATAACTAATTTGAGCCTACATTGCAATTTTTTTTTTCAAAATTACATGATATCGTGTTTTCTTTGTACGCAAGCCAAGATCATATAATCAACAATCACATACCAAAATTGTGGTTTGTAATCTATAAGACTTGAAAAAATATGTGAAATAGAAAAACCACCAAATTTACGAGGTATCTTTACACAACCTTAAACAATTGATCTATTTTCATTATTTTCAGTTATTATTTATCTCCTGATTCAGTTTCCCGCATCACCTGTTACGTCATTCACCTCTATCATATGGCAGTGGATATCACTGCACACACCAATAAATTGTAAATTAAATGTATATATCATACAAAAAAGTGTTTTCTTTTTAACTCATAAAGCAAATTATTTCCAATCACGTGTGTTCCTAACGTGATTACAGGTTTGATATCACAAGACAAAAACAAGGTCAATATACCATATATATACCATATAACCACATGTTTTAAGGTAGGTATGGACAGAATTGATGAAAACTGCCTTTGGTTGGTATGTGTGTTCTATATTTCATTTCTTAATATTTATTTAACATAATAATTATTTCCTGTATTTTATTGCCCAATACAATCTTATGCTTAGGAATGCACTTCTGTCGATGGCTTTGGTCGTTAATTCATTAAAAAATTTTAAAAGATTTGTCTACCGGATGCAGAAATAAAAGAACATTTAATACTCATTAAAATTTATTTCAGACAAATTACTTCGCCTCGCAGCATATGTCTTCTGTTTGATGAAAATGATATTTATGAATTCGGTTTGATGGAGATGGATACTGCGAATAAAACTTCAGTACTATTATACTTCTTTATTTTCAAATTATATTGTATACAATTGGTTAATTAAGGTAGAATAAATATATTATTATAATATATATTATTCCAAAATGTTTACGATATATCAAAGGAAATGCATTCATACCTACCTACACTACTCCGTTTTCGTAGAATTTGGGATATTACTCTTCAAGTCAACGTCTTATACTCGCAACTTGGTAGATAGGTAATTTAATAAATAAATAGCTAGGTACAAGAGTTTACATTTTACACTAAATTACCTTTATATAGGCCCGTACCTTTGTATAGGGTGTACGTGAGAGTTGCGGGCAATATAAAGAAATTAATATAAATTAATTATTCATAGTTAATAGTTTTTCAATTTAGTTAAGAATCTTCTTACAAAAGGTGGAAATGACAGGAATGAAATATTTATTTTAAAATTTTAACCAATTCCATTTTTAACTGACGATTTTTCCATAAACTTCACCATTGGTTATCTTAACATAAAAACTTATTTTCTGTAACGTTTCTATATTTTTTCATATAGGGAACACAGAATACAGAAAACGGGGATACCAGCCAGTTGTTACATTGACACCTCCGTTACCTGTTCCCATATTTGTACTATTTGAGGGATCTGTTGTTATTCAAGAAACCATCATAATTAAATTCTGTCTGCCTTAATGTGTCACGTCATTATAGTTTCTAATTTTTGAATTTGTTATAAAGGTTGAAGTTTATAAGTACTTTCGATTCCAATTACAAATTATTTAGTCTTTATCGAGTGAAATTGCATTGGATAAGTATTAAAAACGAGGTTCCGTTAATAAGTATTACGTTTGGCAGTGTATCGCCCCACCTGACATTACAGGCAGGTAACACAAGTAAAAAAATGCCTACTTTCAATTAAAATGAAACAAATATTGTTTCATTTGAAATAAAGGTAATGAAATTACCTTTCTTTATTAGTAGTAATGTAGGAACGTATGTTCGCCATATTTTTAAGTAACACCCTTAAAAATATTATGTGTATGCTTTAGAACTTTTTTTAGGTAAACCGATTTTGATGACTTTTTTTATTAGAGATCTGGTGCTTCTCATGTGGTCTCATATTAAATTGATCGAGATCTGACCAGTAGTTTTTGAGTCATCCTTAATAATGTATATTTAATTGACTTCGACTACAAATGTTTAATGTCACCACTTGTTGCTTATAGTGTCATCTTTTACGCCATTACCTACAACGTTGACATATTCGGCGTGACTAAAGATAATGCCTACTAAAGCTTACTTTAAAACCTCGGTACAAAAAGAAAAAAGCTAAAATTCATTTAAATATGTTAGTAGATTTTGTTTTATAGCATCAAAATCTTACAGTGGATCTTCTATGATAATAAGATTCAACACTTTCGCAGTCATCACACAGCACAATACTTCATATCTTTCTTTATTTTTACTTTGTTTCGTTGATTCAACTTTCTAGTATCATTAAGGATGTTACAGACACAATTAA